CGCAACCCTTACGCACGAAATGGACGTTGGACGTCAAAAACTGAGGAAAAATTGCGACATTTGAGTTGTCAATCGCAACCCTTTCGCACGAAATGCACGTTGGACGTCAAAAACTGAGGAAAAATTGCGATTTTACTTGGTCAATCGTAACCCTTTCGCACGAAATGGACGTTGGACGTCAAAAACTGAGCAAAAAATGCAATTTTAAAGTGTCAATCGCAACGCTTTCGTCTGTGTAAAAGTGTCTGTGTGTAAAAGCCTCTGTGTGTAAAAGCCTCTGTGTGTAAAAGCGTCTGTGTGTAAAATAGCGTCTGTGTTTCAAAGTGTCTGTGTAAGGGTCTGTGTGTAAAACCGTCTGTGTGTAAAAGCGTATGTGTGTAAAAGCGTCTGTGTGTAAAAGCCTCTGTGTAAAAAGCCTCTGTGTAAAAGCGTCTGAATGTGAAAGTTTTGTTTTTGTGTAAAATCTTCTGTGTGTAAAAGCTTCTGTGTGTAAAAGCGTCTGTGTGTAAAGGAGTCTGTGTGTAAACGCTTCTGTGTGTGAAAGTGTTTGTGTGTAAAAGGGTGTGTGTAAAAGCGTCTGTGTGTAAAAGTGTCTGTGTAAAAGTGCCGTGTGTAAAAGCGTTTGTGTGTAAAAGCTTTTGTGTGTAAAAGTGTCTGTGTGTAAAAGCGTCTGTGTGTAAAATCGTCTGTGTGTAAAAGCGTCTGTGTATAAAAGAGTCTGTGTGTAAAAGCGTTTGTGCAAAAGCGTCTGTGTGTAAAAGTGTCTGTGTGTAAAAGCGTCTGTGTGTAAAAGCCTCTTTGTGTAAAAGTGTCTGTGTGTAAAAGTGTCTGTGTGTAAAAGTTTCCGTGTGTAAAAGCCTCTGTGTGTAAAAGTGTCTGTGTGTAAAAGTGTCTGTGTGTAAAAGCGTTTGTGTGTAAAAACGTCCGTGTGTAAGAGTGTCTGTGTGTAATAGCGTCTGGGTGTAAAATCTTCTGAGTGTACAAGCTTCTGTGTGTAAAAGCGTCTGTGTGTAAAGGAGTCTCTGTGTAAAGGCTTCTGTGTGTAAAAGCCTCTGTGTGTGAAAGTGTTTGTGTGTAAAAGCGTCTGTGTGTAGAAGTCTCTGTGCAAGCGTCCGTGTGTAAAAGCCTCTGTGTGTGTGTGTAAAAGAAAAGCGTGTGTGTGTGTGTGCGCGTGTTTGTGTAAAAGCTTCTGTGGGTAAAAGTGTCTGTGTGTAAAAGTCTCTGTGTAAAAGCTTCTGTGTGTAAGAGCGTCTGTGTGTAAAAGTGTCTGTGTGTAAAAGCTTCTGTGTGTAAAAGCGTCTGTCTGTAAAGGAGGATGTGTGTAAAAAGCTTCTGTGTAAGAGCAACTGTGTGTAAAAGCTTCTGTGTGTAACAGCTTCTTTGTGTAAAAGCGTCTGTGTGTAAAGGAGTCTGTGTGTAAAAGTGTCTGTGTGTAAAAGCGTCTGTGTGTAAAAGCGTTTGTGTAAAAGTGTTTGTGTGTAAAAGTGTCTGTGTAAAAGTGTCTGTGTGCAAAAGCGTCTGTGTGTAAAAGCGTCTGTGTGTAAAAGCCTCTGTGTAATAGCCTCTGTGTGTGAAAGTGTGTGTGTGTAAGTGTGTGTGTGTGTAAAAGCGTCTGTGTGCAAAAAGCGTCTGTGTGTAAAAGTGTCTGTGTGTAAAAGCTTCTGTGTGTAAAAGCGTCTGTGTGTAAAAGCGTCTGTGTGTAAAAGGGTCTGTGTGTAAAAGTCTCTGTGTGTAAAAGGGTCTGTGTGTAAAAGTTTCTGTGTGTAAAAGCGTCTGTGTGTAAAAGCGTCTGTTTGTAAAAGCGCCTGTGTGTAAAAGCGTCTGTGTGTAAAAGCCTCTGTGTGTAAAAGCTTCTGTGTGTAAAAGCCTCTATGTGTAAAGGAGTCTGTGTGTAAAAGTGTCTGTGTGTAAAAGCGTCTGTGTGTAAAAGCGTCTGTGTGTAAAAGCGTCTGTGTGTAAAAGCGTCTGTGTGTAAAAGCGTCTGTGTGTAAAAGCCTCTGTGTGTGAAAGTTTTTGTGTTTTTGTGCGTAAAAGCGTCTGTGTGTAAACGCTTCTGTGTGTGAAAGTGTTTGTGTGTAAAAGGGTCTGTGTGTAAAAGCGTCTGTTGGTAAAAGTGTCTGTGTGTAAAAGTGTCTGTGTGTAAAAGTGTCTGTGTGTAAAAGCGTCTGTGTGTAAAAGCGTCTGTGTCTAAAAGCCTCTGTGTGTAAAAGCGTCTGTGTGTAAAAGCGTTTTTGTGCGTAAGTGTGTGTGTGTGTAAAAGCATCTGTGTGTAAAAGCCTCTGTGTGTAAAAGCCTCTGTGTATGACACAGGTTATTTCATTTTATTATGGAAAATCCCGCAGAAATGGCCCAAAAAAGCTCGGTACCATGATGCTGTGTATGACACATGTTATTTCATTTTATTATGGAAAATCCCACATAAATGGCCCAAAAAAGATCGGTACCATGATGCTGTAAATGACACATGTGACAATACTTCACTAGTGAAATGTCTGCAAACGTTTGCACAAAAAAAGGTCCAATACCATAATGCAGTAAATGACATGTGTTATCTCATTTTATTCTGGGAATATCCCACAGAAACTATCAAAAAAGCTCGGTACCATGATGCCGTGTATGACACATGTCATTTCATTTTAGTATGGAAAATCCCGCAGAAATGGCCCAAAAAAGCTCGGTACCATGATGCTGTGTATGACACATATTATTTCATTTTATTATGGAAAATCCCACATAAATGGCCCAAAAAAGATCGGTACCATGATGCTGTAAATGACACATGTGACAATACTTCACTAGTGAAATGTCTGCAAACGTTTGCAACAGAGCTCGATGCCATCATGTGCTTGATGTCAAAAACAGAACAGTTTGAGCTCAGGACCATAAAATGTCATATAGAGACACTCTTCAAAAGCTTCTGTGTGTAAAAGCCTCTGTGTATGAAAGTGTGTGTGTGTGTAAAAGCATCTGCGTGTAAAAGCGTCTGTGTGTAAAAGCGTCTGTGTGTAAAAGGGTCTGTGTGTAAAAGTCTCTGTGTGTAAAAGTCTCTGTGTGTAAACGCGTCTGTGAAAGTGTTTGTGTGTAAAAGCATCTGCGTGTAAAAGCGCCTATGTGTAAAAGCGTCTGCGTGTAAAAGTGTCTGTGTGTAAAAGCGTCTGTGTGTAAAAGTCTCTGTGTGTAAACGCGTCTGTGAAAGTGTTTGTGTGTAAAAGCGTCTGTGTGTAAAGGAGTCTGTGTGTAAAAGCTTCTGTGTGTAAAAGCGTCTGTGTGTAAAAGCCTCTGTGTAAAAGCCTCTGTGTGTGAAAGTGTTTGTGTGTAAAAGCTTCTGTGTGTAACAGCTTCTGTGTGTGAAAGTGTGTGTGTGTGTGTAAAAGAAAAGCGTGTGTGTGTAAAAGCTTCTGTGGGTAGAAGTGTCTGTGTGTAAAAGGGTCTGTGTGTAAAAGCGTCTGTGGGTAAAAACCGTCTGTGTGTAAAAGCTTCTGTGTGTAAAAGCGTCTGTGTGTAAAAGCGTTTGTGTGTGAAAGTGTGTGTGTGTGTCTAAAAACATCTGCGTGTAAAAGCGTCTGTGTGTAAAAGCCTATGTGCGTAAAAGTGTCTAGTGTCTGTGCGTAAAGGCGTCTGTGTGTAAAAGCCTATGTGTTTAAAAGTGTCTAGTGTCTGCGTGTAAAACCTTCTGTGTGTAAAAGCTTCTGTGTGTAAAAGCGTCTGTGTGTAAACGCTTCTGTGTGTAAAAGCGTATGTGTGTAAATGCGTCTGTGTGTAACAGCTTCTGTGCAAAAGCGTCTGTGTGTAAGAGGTTCTGTGTGTGAAAAACAATACGAAGGATAGGATGCAAACTAGTGTTTTGTACTTGTAATATATTGTCTTGATACTACTTGTCTCGCCTGCCTAAAATACATCTTTACTATATTGTCTTGCAATATAGTGTCTCAATACTAACAACAGAAGACCCTGCTCTCTCTCTCCCTCTTTCTCTCTCTCTCTCTCTCTCCCTCTCTCTCTCTCTCTCTCTCTCCCTCTCCCCCTTTCTCTCTATCTATGTCTCTCTGTGGTTGCAAGACACGTGTCATATGATGCCCTTTACCAAGCAGCACA